AAACCGGTCAGGGAGCGGAGGCAGCCGCGCGGGGAGGGGGCGGGGCCTGCTCGGGCAGACACGGCCCCGCGCGGAGGGCAGGGAGGCGGGGGGGCGCAGAGGTCACCGAAGGAGCCGCAGTGGGCGGGGTGGGGGGCCGTTCCGAAGCGAGGGGCCGCCTCGGCCGCTAAGGAGGCCTCGCTCAGCCGTTGGCATGAGGTGACACCATCAGGAGAGGGAGAGGCAGGAGGAGAGCCTCTCCCGGCAGTGGAAGAAGAGGTGACGCCACAGGGAGCCAAGGAGGCGCGAGGGGCCGAGACGCGGACGCCAGAACGTTCCAGAAGCCGCCCCGAGAGCTGTGCAGGCAGTCGCGGCGTGTCCAAGCAGCCAAGGAGGGCTGGAAGAGGAGGCCGCCGCCCACCGCCCGCCGCCCGCCGCCTCTCACTGCCCAGACCCAGGCGCTCCCTCTCCCTGCTGCCGCGTCCTGGGAGCCGCCTCACCCCTCTGCACACAAACGGTCGCTCTCCCCACGCGAGGAGACACCTGTAGCTCTGGCGCCTGGCTCGCCTTCCCTGTGGCCAGGTTTTATGGCCTTCCAGGTCTCAAGAGTGCCATGCCCAGCTCTGTGGGGGCGTCAGACCCGGCCTGCTGCTCCTGCCCACACCTGAGTGTCCTGGGCGCCCCCAGCCCAAGCGCCCATGCAGGGTCGCCCAGGGGAGAGAACTCGGTGCCCCGGTTGGTTTCGGCTGTGCCGGGGCCTGGGCGGGAGAGCCGGGCCTGACCCGCCGGCTCTCGGTGCCCGGAAGCGGCAGGGGGTCGCGCCTAGCACACTCACCCTCACCCGTCGCGGGCCAGGGCAGGAGCCGGGCGCAGAGGGTAAGGAAGGGCGCGCTGTCTCCTTACCCCCTGGACGCCGGGCGGGAAGACGTACTGGATGACGATGGTGCCGTACTTCTCATAGCTGGGCAGCAGCAGCGTGGCGTCCTTGGAGACCAGCATCCGCCCGTTCTGGGGCTGGTTGCCCACCAGCTGCCCGTAGAAGCGGCCGCACATGGGGCAGGCCTTCTTGACCTGCAGCGCGCGGGTGATGCAGCCCTCACAGAAGGAGTGCCGGCACTTCTCCAGCGTCTTGGCGTTCTGGATCTCCCCCAGGCAGATGGGGCAGGTGCTCTCCTGCTCTTCGGCCTCCTCCCGCAGCCGGGGAGGCAGGGGCGGCGGCAAGGGGGGCGGAGGAGGGGGGAGCCCCCGAGCCCCGGGGGGCAGGAGCGGCGCCGCGCGGAGCGGGGGCGGGCCTGGGCGGTGCAGCTCGGGGTGCTCCGTGCCGCCCCCCAGGGCCAGGCAGCCCAGGAGCTCCCCCTGCCTCTGAGCTTTCTTCAGCTCTTTCTCCGCCTCTTTCAGCAGCCCCTTGAGGGCCTTCCGGGCCAGGTAGAGCCCGTTGGGGGCGGCCGGGGGCGGGCCCTGGGGGGACAGCTGCAGGACGTAGATGTCAGAGGTCTCGCCGTCGATGAGGATGGCCACGCGGTGCTCCTCCCGCAGCCGGGCCAGCCTCGCGGGCGTCTCCTTGCTCAGGAAGTCCCACACGGGCTTGGAGACGGTCACCTTGTTCTTGCAGGTGCCGCCGCAGGCTGCCATTCTGGACAGGACGAACGACACTGCCCCCAGGGTGAAAGGGACTCAGGGTGGGGGGTCCCCGTGCGACACGGCTCAGGGCTCCTACTCAGGCGCCTCTGCGGCCTTCTGCCAGGCTCCTCTCGCAGGGCCCAGCCCCCGCCCCACTCGTTTCCGGGGTCCTCTTCCCGGTCAAACCCCAGCGCCCACTGAGGCGCGAGAACTCTGTGACCACTGTCAGCGCTCAGGGCAAGCCTCGGCCTGGGGGGGCCTTCGGCTCCTCCCGGGCCACAGGCGCCCTGTCCTGACCCTCCCGGGGCGGGGCGGGGCGGGGCTGCGCGAGGGAGGCTCTGACCCTCCCTTTTGCTCACTTTGATCCTGAGGAGCTTAGGATGGGCATGCAGGCGCGGGGTCGCTGCTCCCTACTTGTGGGCGGCGTGGCCTGGTGGCGGGAGAAGGAGGCAGGTGAGAGGGGCCCCCGCGCCCGCCCGGGACAGACTTAACCCGGGCCTGGGGCACGGGCGGCCCCGGCCTGAGCGGGCGGTGGCACCGGGTACCTGGAGAGCCCATGGACGGCGCGGCAGCAGGTCCCTGTGTCCGCTCTCAGCTGACTAGGCCTGGGGGAGGGCCACGGTGGCAGCTGTCACCTTCCCAGCCAGCCCAGACGAACCCACAAGTTCTCTCCCCCCCCCCAGCTCGGCCAGGAGAAACTTCAGCGTGTTGACTTCACTGTCCCTCGGGCGGGCGGGAGCCCCGCAGTTGGCCTTTCTGCCCCTCCCGTCACCCCAGGGCCGGCGTGACCCCAAGCCCGGCTGCCGCCCTGCCCCACGCTGCCACACGGCCGCCCCTCGCCCGAGTGGGTGCCAGGTGCAGTGCTGGCACAGTGGCGGCAGCTCCCGCAGTAACAAGTTCTCGCTGTCCTCTTTCAAGCCCAGCACCCCGAGAGCAAGCCTGTGCGCC